GCTTCACGGGAACGCGTGATACACAAACGATGAAGACGTGTAAATTTCATTGATATCAGTCAAACAACCTGTAGTACTTGAAGTATTAGTAGTACATACTGATCACGAAATACGAATCACGACCTAGCAATCACGGGCGTCACGTAAGAACTGGATCACACTGGTCCTAGCATGACAGTACCCCGCGTAACCGAGACGCGAGGAAAAGGCCACAGGAATAGCAAGCAATTCCTTTATAGAAAGAAATCAGGGAGATTATATAATAGTACGTGCAAAACAAACAAGTTCATTGGTCATCCAAGCCTCGGCCAATCGCACGCTAGTAATTCTGGCGTTGTTCAGCTTCTGTTCGGACCGCCTCTTTCAACCAGAAAAGAATAACGGGTATTGGGTGATAAAAATCAGTCCATCAATTTTTGCAATAGGCTAAATTTGGGGTAGTGACACCTGATCTGGTTCTTTACGACTCCTCAAGCACTCAGCACGCTCAGATCACGTGCAAACTCTCTCTCTCTCGTTTCGAGGGCTGAATTCTAAATCACTCTGGACCATTGCTCAAACTGGATAGGAGAGCGGTATGTCCCAAATCTAGTCGAGTTGAGTGCAAACACGCGTTTTATATGGGCACCCGCCACAAAAAGACTGTGCCTCGTGTAATATTTACATCAATGCAGCGCAACAGTACCACACACCCATCCACTCACCGATATCATTCCTTTTTGAAAATCAAATCGAGCTCCCAAATAGTTCACATTCAAATTATTCATTAAAGTGATCAAATCAACTAGGGTATATCATGATGCTGATGCGCAGACCTCGGTCAAAGATAAATCATTCTTTAGGACATATTCATCCAGTCTGTGAACCAAGCGTCTATCATTGTTCCTCTCTGAAAGTGAATGCCACACTACTGCAACGAATCACGATGATCTGACAGTATGTATTCGCCGATCAGGAAGGATTTGAAATATTGTAGAAGACTAAATCATCACTATTTGAACAGAAAGATGTTTCAAGTATCCAAGGTGGTAGTTAGATCAATTCTGAGGTTCTCGAGTTATACTTATGTTCTTTTTCTCAAATTCCTCATTTTGATGGACATTGAACCCAAGGCAAGAGGATACCGTATTCAGTCAAGAAGACCGGTAGCCAAAGGTCTTGAAGGTTGTTCAAAATTTTTCGTCAACATAAAAAATACGAAGCCCTGAACGGTCAAGTTCTCCGGACCAGATTTGGACACAAATATGGACGCCCAGCGTTTGTGCGCAGTCAATACCCGTAAATGATTGCAAAAAACGTAATACTTGTTTTTTTTTTATCAAATTAAATCAATGAACCTAGTTCAATGACCACACACGTTCACAACAAACTGATCAAATAGTATGCAGTCCCGGAATCAACCGGGAGACAATCGATAGCATATTTTCCCAGGGAATTAATTTATTCCAACGAACGAGAACACAAATCACCGCCCAAACCGCATAAAAGATCGATTGGGTTGCCAAACACACGGTACACTGGTGGTTCCATTTTTATGAAGTTATACAAGCTGCGGTGAATAGGTTCAGACCTGTCTATGTGTGTAACGTCCCTTGGACCGGCTATAAAGCTGTTCACTTTTGTCAAACACGCTTCTTTTGGGATTCAGGGCCTCAATGCTGATGGAATTCGTCATGAGTAGTGTGGTTAGCTTGTATGCTTCATATCTGGGGCACGAAAAGCTTGAATGAATTCAGCTGATAGGTCACCATAGCGAAATCTCTGGTAAAACTGGAGAAGTGAATAAGGAGAAGTGAAGAGCACCACAATTGGATGATTGAACGCTGCAAAGTAGAGCACTGACACGATCGAAAGATTACGAGATGAGCATCTACCTGTGGTCAGTTTACAACTGTAGGGCTCATCTATCCGGCGTTGGGATGACTTCTCGAGTATCTACAAATTCGGATATCAACCACGACGACCCATACCGCAGACGCATCGTTTCCCGTCCGCCGGACTGTATTTGTTTTCCTTATCAAGGCCACTTCAACATTACAGAACAGCGAGACAAACGTATACTCCCAAAATAGTGAATCAGCCTACGCTGACCCCAGTTTTCACATGCGTCCCTGCTTATTGAAACGAAACAAGTGTTGCAATGTGCGTTAGCAGCCTGTTTGGTAAGCAAGCTGCTCACCAAACAAGTATGGACTGACCGCACAGCCTGGATTCATGGATAGGAAGATACGGTGTACCACAAACACTCTATCAAACGAACATTTCAGTTCAATAACAGTGGGCGGTGGTAGCCGGGTGTTAACTTCACCAAATTTGAATCATTGTTTATCCAATAAAAGGAAGTAAAAAATGAACAAAATGGCTTCTCTCCAAAGGGGGCTTTCGAATGAATGCAGTATAAAAACGACCACATACGCCCGGTCCAGTTTGAATCTTTAGCTGTACCTTACCTGAATTCTGGCGTTGTCTTAAAAAAATGTAAATCATGGTGGATGCGATGAACGCTTTTCTGTCAGTCAGTTTCGACGTATATCAATGTCCTAAGCTGTTCTGTATCGATTGAAATGTTTGTCGAAACGTAAAAGCCTTTCCTATCTAGGACGAACGGATCGCGAAAATGACCAACTCCAGAAAAAGATTTCCAAATGATCTGTTCCGTGTACAAACAAGAGGCAGCTGTAAACCGATGAATGTATTCTTTAGACGTTCCGAATAATATTGAGTGATTTCCCATGCCGATATTTCCTATAAACATAGATCAGTGTCAGAATCTTAGAAACGATCTACTAAACGCACTCCATTCAGTCGTGGTGATACGATGAACACATGGCATCAATCATCAGCTCTCACTAAAAACTGAGTAGTCGCTATAGTCTAAATTAGTGATCCATCGTTTGTTCAACGGCTAATCCGACCGCATGCGGGTCACATGATTCCATTTGTAAGACCAACCGGTCTATTCTGATCAAAGGTCAACCTGATCGATCAAGAGTCAAGCCAAACAGAGACTCAGTGCACTCAGTTGCGTAAGCATAGTCATGTGATTCAGACTTGCCGTACAGCGAACAAATGTTTAGGCGCACAAATTTTTATTCACCGATTTGTCGGTATCCAAATTCATAAGAGACATCTAGGTGAGCCACCGACGGGAGCACACAGTAAGCAAATCCTAAGGGTTGGAGCTACAATCAACACCTTTCCAACTTACTGAAACGGAACGTTTCTCACCTGTAAACCTTGAAGCAGACACAAAAAGCATAGGTGCGCGAATCGCATGCGACTTTCTGCGAGCATAGTCCACATTGCGTTGGTGAGCAGTTTCAGAACGAGTGAGATTTCCTTCTGGAATAATGCTACTTTCCAGAGCAAACCAACTTTAACAGGTTTCAGTTGAACACGTGATTGCCTGCACAGCCTTCAGTAAAATGCGAGCACTAGCTGAGCTAGATGAATATAACCGACACGGGTTTGTATTGAACCAGCTGGACTCATGTGCAGAGGATACAGTTCCCACGATTGTCACACGCGTAGTGCAACCGCAAGGCAAGGAATCATCTGACAGCTGTGGCTACTAGTAGTCAGCTCATTCCTCTTGTTTGTTGTCAGTCTCTGTCTCTCTCTCTCTCTCACACATACACGGAGAGAGAAACAACTTGGAGGGGCAATGCAATCAATCAATAAGCAAAATCAGAAAGACAGTTGGAGTAAGTTTATGGTCTGGCTTTTGGAATTCGCTCCATACGTACTCAAATGATCAGTTCGGGACTCAATGAGGTTGATAAACCATTGATGGTAAAAATCACAAATAGGAATGCATGGAAAATGAAGTTTTTGAATTTTTGTGTATTAGCCACCAGTCAGCGATGGCTGAGAATGAGGGACGATGCGAGGGATACTTGAGAAGTGCAAATTGTTGTGACTTGCACGTACCCGGCTACGAAATCCCGGGGTCCAAATATCGTTATCATCCAGGAGGTACATAGCTCTGTTTCCGTCCGACAGAGTATCACAGTTGCATTTAGTCCTTTATGGAGTGCCAGGGACCGCGGTAACTGAATAGTCCTCAGTCCTTGTGACCATGCGGGATTGGCCCACTTTAGTGTTTACCATAGTGAGTTGTGAAATAATCAGATTTCAAAATGCACTATTATTTGGACAGAACGGTCTTTTCATCGCACATGTATTCTCCGCAATCAAAGGGATAGAAATAACCAGCCTTTTTTTAAAAAAAAAGAGTCGGTCCCGAAAACTGTGGTAGATAAACACTTCATTGTTGGTCCCTATCGGACAAAAATACAGCTCGATTTCATGAACACAGCGATGCATGTGTTTTCTCAATTGGGGTATTGCTCACCAATCTAGGTAATTAAAGTATAGGTTAGCGGAAGTAAAGGAAAGTAAACATCAGGAATAAATGATATAAAATGAGACAGGGAGAGGAAAAAGACACAAGAAAAATAGGTACCACTGACGACATGGCCTTGTGTTTTATTCCACGCCTTCATAATCATGCACACACAGAGAGCGAATCCTATAATGTCTAACCCCACTCACATGATTCAATCCTCCAGTGGAAAATCCCAAGGAGGTTCTGCAAACTTCATGTAGTCTAGTTTGCCTATCAGTGAATACTGTTGTTGATCGACGAAGACGATCTACGTAATTGTGTGTACAACGAAGGTGGTAGTCTAGTAACCACTACCGGTGATTTGTATTTGAAGCCGGTCGTGCTGTTTTCCTAAGTATCGGTATCGGGGTTCAGTAAATGCACCGTACAAGGAAGGAGACAGTTCGAAGCGCACTCACACATTTAGCTCGGAGGGGAAAAAACGCTTTCTCACCTGTGGTCAGGTTTTTTTTTGGAGAAAAAGAATCGAGACAAAAACACTGAATTCGAAGTGAATTGAAAGTGCAAACCGAAAGATAGATGCGGATGAAGGAAGTATGAAATAGGCCCGGACAACAAGAAATTGTCCGGAGACTAATAATACATAACCTTACTAGTATAACAGTAATCCACAACATCGATGCTTACCCTGGTACGAGGAAGTCGGAGTAGAGGCAAGCATCTGACGACGCAGGCGTTCCACGTCGGACACCGCTCGATCGCGTTCCGACTGGCATGTCTCTAGTACTCGACGAAGACGATCCAACTCGGTGTTCAGTTGATTTTTTTCTTCCAGTGAGGCCATTTTCTCGCGTAAATGTGTTTGCAATCGTTCATTCGATTCGAGCAATAATTTGTCAACCTGTTTCAAAGGAACATAGGAAATAGTGGATAAATTTATCAAACTAAATGGGGGGGGGGGNTCACATACATACATCTCTCTATGTAACCGACCGCGCGCGCGCGCGAGAGAGAGAGAGAGAGATAGCGAGATATAAGGAGAAGATGAGAAAAAACGGATGAGCTTAATCTTCCATTATGGTCCTAAATCATCGTCTCGTTGAGCAGCTCATTGACTTCAATATCATGATTTGTTTTCGTGTGAGCATGAACCGGCCTCAAAGGTGTCTCCGGGAGAATGGCTTCCTGTGGGTAGCGTGTGACAGGGTAGGCGGAATGAAAGCTAATTGTCTTCTCAACCTCTTCCAGACACAGACGCAACACATACAGTTTCTAACTGTGCTGATCAGAGTTGTCAGTGAGCACTAACAATGCAGTTGCACTATCCCCAACACCCAGATGGAAAGAGAGCTCTCCTTGTGAGTTCCGTGGCCGGATGAAAACGGTCGATGCTAGAACAGTGCAGAAAACTTTCGAATGAAAAAGCAGTAGTGAATGAAATCCGTGTACTGTTTTCCAGCTGCTCCTCAGAGATTTAGGGCTCCCATTGTAAGTCAGTGCATGGCCAATGAGAGCTCGGTACACAAGGGTGGTTGATTTTGTTGCGGATCTACATTAACAGGTGGAGATGTAAAAAAACACGTCCTAGTGCCATGCGAAGTTAGACATTTCAATGTAACCTCTCCTACTAACGAACATACTGGGTTCTCTTGTCCAATTATCGATGATTTTTCGCAGCTATTCCCGTTACGGATCCATTACCTAACCGAGCCATATTCATAGCTTCCATTCTACATGTTTAGTGAAGGCAATGTGTTTTTGGTAAGCATTCAATCATTTTACTGTTTTTCCAGGACCTACCTCGTGTTTTATTACTTCCTTGAGTCAGTCAATTTATGAATGAGTAAAATTATTCGAAAATACGAGGAGCTCTTGGCTATCATTTAACCTGGTCACGCAACGCGTGCAACCGCATCACATAAGTTCAGTCGATAGAGTAACATAACGGATGAATCGACAACAGGGTCTTTCTGGTCAGTTTCGTTCTACTCCAGAATAGGAAATGCTGATCTCATAAGTTGTTAGAACAATGTCAGTAGGCATGATGTTGCATATATTCAGTAATAATAACGCCAAGCACATGCGAATTTAATTGTCCAACTCATGGACTGATCGATTCTGTTCATTAGCAGTATTAGTGATAACGATAGGTTGAATCAGTTTTAACCACACTCGTCGCTACCTCGAGTCAAGACTGTGTACCGCGCGAAGCCTAGTCAAAGAGCATTTTATACATCTGAAATACGTAGAATGCAGAATGCAAATAGGTCTGGCTTGGAATCAACGGATCACAAAAGACTGCCCAAGGTGGAATAGGCTAGACTTATACACGAAAATCCCAAGACTCTAACGTTCCTCATCCAAAACTTCTCATATTAAAACACAGTACGCATACATACATCGGAGAGGCATATATACATGAATAGAATAAATCCTAATGAAACGTACACACACACACACACACACACACACACGGTGATCGCACTGATTCGAACATTATCCAATGAGCCTCAGAAGTACAGGTTTGCTGTTTCACTTTGATTTGGAACCATCAGTACAATTCTCATCAAGCAAAACGAACTGCCAATCAGACAAGTCAGTTCCCTGGGAATATCCGGACTGATTATCAGCAGCTTGCTCTATCTTGTACTACTACTATTATTACGAATATACTTATGTCATGTCAAACATACTGCCACTATAAACATCAGAAAAAAAAATCGTCGAAATGCGGTGAACACCAGTTTGTGTTTTCAAACTGATATCGGGATAGGGTTGCTCACACAGTGACCAATCACGTATACGAAAATCACAGAAAGATATTGCCAACGGATTTTACCGAATGCGTGGCTGAATTCGTTTATGTGGTCACCTGGTGCCTAGTTTGCAAACGCCGCGCTCAGAGAGGTATCTATCTGTATGGTCGAGAATAGATGCTTCGGATTGCGCGTGGTCACCCTTCCCTTGTAAACCTTTGAAAGCTCTTATACACGACAGAGGGTCTCAAATAGCCTTTACCGAGGAAGCCGTCGTACACAGTGCCCTGATTGAACAGGTGTATTGATTGACCCACCAAAGTGAGAGGACAACAAGTAACAACTTCACAAGCACTGATGATGTCACCTCGGCTGATGATGAAACGTTTGCAAACAAATTGCCAAGCTCGGCGAACAGGCGAAATGGAACAAG